AGGGTGCTCTTCTCCAGGTGCTTCGTCCGCTGACACTGATGCTTAAGGCTTTGGTCTTTAATGTGTAAGGCTTTAGAGAGTGAGGAAGCATGAAAACAAACAACTGTTCTGCCGGGCACGCATTGGCAGCCTTTAAATACTCTCTAAACACTTACAAAGGTCTGGTGTGGGTGGTGGAGCGGAGTAGTGGCGGCGGCGGGGGTGGTGGGGGCGGTGGGGGTGGTGAGGGTGGTGGGGGTGGTGGGGGGGGTGGTGGGGGCGGTGGGGGTGGTGAGGGTGGTGGGGGTGGGGCGGGGTCCGGGCACGCATCACTTACAAAGGTCTGGTGTGGGTGGTGGAGCGGAGTAGTGGCGGCGGCGGGGGTGGTGGGGGCGGTGGGTGGGGGACCAGCGCTGCCTTCTGGATGACGCAGAGATCAGATCTCTGCGTCGGCAGGTCGGCGCAGGCTTGGGATCGAGGTCTCCACCTTCGCCGGCCCATGGCTATTTGAACGGAGCCTCGCTGGCTCCCGAACTGCGCGCAAACGCCCTTCTAATTTGCTGTGGCAGTGGGACAGTTGTGGTGCTTGTGTTGATGGAAGCGGGGACTCACGGGTCTTCGAACGGAAGCTCGTCAGCCAGGATCGAAGCTTCAGAGCTTCGGGCTTTCGGCTTGGAGGCTTAAGGCGTTTTTAAATCTCGCTCGGTCCACGTGAGCCAGGTCAAGGTTCAAGGTGTTGATTTCTCGAGTCTCACCCAAAAATCCTGCAACCCTCCGCTCTACTTCGAGGGTGTTTTTATTGTGTTCTTTTGAGTGGGTGGGGGGTTTAGGGCTCAGCAATACCCCAACTACACTTCCAAATACCCTCCCCGTGGAAAAGACTTGCCGAGTTGCTGTGCGCAGCGTTTCATCAACTGAGGCACCTGGTCATCCACCCATACTGTTGATAATATATGCATTACTGCATTACCTTAAGGACCCTATAAACTTTGGGAATTATGGTATATTCCTTATTATGGGTAATGCAGGATTTATATTATCAGCCGTAGGGAGCCTAAGCTCTCAGCCTGCAAACCATAAACCGTCTTGGGAGAGATTTTCAGCTTAAGAGAACAGGAAGGCTCACTTTCGAAATCCGAAACCCTGTCAGTAGTATCATCGGTACTCAGAAAACATGGGACCGCAGAAGTGATCCCAGGCTATGCAATGGCTTTGTGGAAGCTATGTGATCCTGCTGCCCTGGGGGTTTCAAAGGCGCGACACCCTAAGCCCTACACCACTGTTCTGCATAATCTTAGGGCTAAAGATCTTAAGCCGAAGCTCACTACCTGCCTCGGCAAGGCATTCTAGGATGAGAACTCCTTCTTTAGATAAAACCCACTGAATCCCAAAACCCTTATGGAGGAGCCTCAAGACACAGAGCTACGTTTTTTTGTTCTACAGCGCCTTGGGACAACTTCTGTAGAGCCCCCAAAAGCCGCCAACACCCTAGAATCTTAGAGCCCAGAAAATCGAAGTCATATCCGTGACTATAAACTATAGAAGTAACAGCTTTGTTGGACACGCGTAACACTGCAGCCGTCATCAAGGAGGTGGGGGTTCTGCTTCGAAGTTAGAGGGTCTATAGTCCTCATATGGGAGGTTCTCTATGCTAGGCTGCCTTTGAGGGCGCTTTTTATAAGGGTGCCGTACCATATTGGGGACCTAGAGAGGGACCCTAACTTAGAGAACTACAAATATAATGTTCCACTATACCCACTGCACTCAGTTGAACTCTGGCCTCAGCAGTCTGGGAAGTACACGTAACTGCTGCAGCCACTGCCTTGGAGGCGTTTAGAAATTACGGGTTTAGGATTCCAGTTGTGTTGTTGTCGATACTGTTGTTGTCGTCGTGGGCTGATTATCTTATTTTTTCGGCTTGGTCGTTCTTCTTCTTGTTGTTGGTGGTGGTAGTGCCGTTGTTGTTACTATTACAGTTTCTGACATGACTGGCCTTCTTGTTGTTGCTACTTTTGATGATGACACTGCTGCTACTTCTGCTTTCCTGGCTCTCATTACTATACTCTTGCAGCAGCAGCAGCAGCCAGCAGCAGCAGCAGCGGCAGCGGCAGCGGCAGCATGTCGCATTCATCATCACCATCCATCATCGGCATCACCATCATCCGTGCTTCCATCTCTTACGTGACATCATCGGTGCATTGTCATCATCATCATCATCATCACCATCATCATCTTCATCATCATCATCATCATCATTTTCTTCACCATCAACGGCGTCCAATGTTTCACGTTGTTCTGAACTGCTGGTCGAGTTGCTGCACACTCGGCGTGCACCGCATTCTTGGCAGATTGGGGCTGGCGCCGCCTCCACGCAACGAAATCCTGGCAGAGGAGCCCCAAGTTTTCGACCGTAAGCCGCGTCCGAAACCCGCTAAACCCAGACTGCGGTGAATCGGCTGACAGGGGCAGCACCCGTACACTTAGCAACCTTTATGGTGTGTTCCAACGTCTGCCTAAAGCGTGTAGAAAGACGCTTGCTTGACTATTGAGGAAAGTCGTAACTGATCTCGTAGTCGGAGAAAGGAGATGCCTGAAGTCGGCGAGTGCCTTCTTGAGAGTGTTTCAGGTAATGAGTGTGAAGAAGCGAATGCCCATCGGCCTCATGCAACATGCGGCCAGTTGTACGAACTCCAAAATCCCAAAAGCCTACCCATGAAACCCCTCAAGTTCAAATTCTCAGCCTGAGCACAAGAAAGCCTGAGAAAGCTCGAAACCGAAGCATAGCCTGGGACTCAAAGCCCAGCGGCCTAAAACCCACTGTGGGAATGTGGGCGGAATCTCTCGACTAGCTTACCTGGGAGAGCTCAATGTTTCTCTTTGGAATGATCGTCGCAAGTCAGCAAGGAGTGCTACTCCACAGGGCCAGGGGCCAGTGTGATTTTCCCAAAGGCTCCATGTACCTTCATAGTAGATACTTAGGCCTTAAAGGGGTCCCTATATAGGTACTTTAAGGCCTAAGTATCTACTATATGGGTACATGGAGCCTTAGGGTTTCATGAACCTCGATAGATGCCACAAAATTCCGCACCTCCAAGTCGGTTGGACTGCTCCCCTCCTGGCACGTACAGATGAGGAGCGTTTGCTGGGTACGGACGGGTTTAGGCGTTAGGGTTTAGGATTTAGGGTTTAGGGTACGGACAGTACAGGGCTTTACGTTTGGTTTCCAAAAAAGTGTGCGGGGCTGGCAGTGTTTGGTTTGGTGCTCCAGGTTAAGGTTTGGACCACTTTGGGCTAGATTTTCAGGTATGTCCAGACCCACTACTAGCTCTTGCGTTTGGCCTGGAAAAACTACTCTGTGAACCCTATACTACCTAGACGAAAAAAGATCTCACACAATGCCCTTGCATCGTGTCTTGAAACCTGCTTCTGCGATTTCCAGACTGCAGAAGCTAGATTTTTCTCAAACAAACTACACAAGGGCGCCCTAGGGCAGAACCCCGATACCAAAAGCTTTGACGAAAAGCTTTGATGAAAGGCTGTAGACACCAGTAGCTGCTGAGACCAAAGCCCAAGAGGCGTCAGTCATTCAGCCCCAATCGCAACATACTATAGGGGCCTGAATTCGAACCTTGTTCTGGGGTATATTATAGAATTATAATGGTATTAAGGAGCCCTGAGGAAATCTATTTCTGATTATTCCGACGGCTATACGGCTCTATAGCACCAGCCGTAAATCCTGGAAAGAAGAAGCTTGCGTGAAACCTCAAATAACAGCTCAAATGGTTTGAGGTTTGGTTGGTGTGTTGTATAAACAGAATGTTCTCTGACTTCAGGTGTTTAACACCGAACAACCCCCGATCGTTGTCAGGACTTCTAGAACATCCACAAGCGGAACTCAATCCTAAACCCCTGAAAACACATGTCCCTTCTCCTCATCTTTGAAACCTGCTCTCCCAATCCGTACTCCTCGATACAATTCGCATCGCGTAGCTACCTAGCACACACCCTGAAGCCATCGACACCAAAACTAATGTCAGAAAACGTGGTAGGATTGCAAGACCATCGAACCATGGCGAGCCTTGTGAAACCGAAGAGAAGATTACAAGCCCAAGACAAACCCTAAACCCTAAACCCTAAACCCTAAACCCTAAACCCTGGCGCCCCGTGAGAGCGAGTTGTCCACAAGCGCCAGAGATATCTTGGCCCATCTCCCGTCTTACTCGAGTCCTGCGGCAGGGTCTGCCGTGGTTTTGGAGGCTTTCGAAGTTCAGGGATTCACTGTTTTTGGGGTTTACTACCTACCCTAAACCCTAAACCCTAAACCCTAAACCCTAAACCCTAAACCCTAAACCCTAAACCCTAAACCCTAAACTGTAGGGTTTTGGGTTTATAGAACGCTCCAGCGTCTTCGGGTGAGGGCTTCAACTGGCCCCACTTTACTGAAGGAGGTTTAGGGTGTCGGGTTTAGGTTCAGGGCAGGGTGCAGACAACAGAATGTGGCAATATAATACAATACACAGCATGTTAAAATATACTACAATATAAAATATAATGTAGTTTTTTCTGTGGGGCTGACCTTTAAACCGAAAAGGCAAGTAGGTCCTGATAATGTATCGGCCTGGAGAATGAATGATTCTATTCTGTACGGTTCGTGCATACAACTATTGGCACGTATAGTTATTGCATGGAATGCACCCAAACTCTATTCTGATTACTAAGGCCCCAATATACTTTACACCGAAACTTCGAACCAAAAAACTGATAGACAGAGCCTAGCCTCATCCCGTAAACCCTGAACCCTAAACCCTATATGGTTTGGCCCTAAGCCTTAGCTCCTCTAATTGACTCTTCTACTCATCAACTATGTGAGAGATCCGAGGACTCACAACTAAGAGGACGAATTGCTGATATCGCTTGGGAGAATCCCAACAAAGCCCGAACACCATTTCCTAAACCCCGAAGCCAAAAGTTGTCACCCGAGTCTTCACCTTTAGTACCCTTTAAATTAACTTTATATCCTTTTATACGCAGGAGGGTAACGCTGGGGAATCTAGTAAGATTTCGCCCAGTTCTACGGAAGTCATACCCGGTTTAAATCTTATAGAAGAAGCCGAAGCCCGGAACAAATCCCGCTGCGAACCCTCATAGACAACCAATTGAAAACCCGATTGAAACCCTCTAGATGAAGCCTGAATACAAGCTTTAGAATAACAATTGCGGCCATGGTTGTGTTGCCCGGCAGTCATGATGCTGCAGTTTGCGAGGATTTGCTGAAAGCCTGGATCGGGCACAGACTTATTTTCCGTTGATGTACATAAAGCTTCAGGCTCCAGAGCGTGACGAGGTTCGGGGATTTAAAGAGGATTCAAGTGCTTTGGGCCAGCAATCCCGAATCGCAGCACAGTGGCGTTCCACGCGCTGATGCTGCGGCGCACGGAAGCCGTCCGGCATGGACGAGGCGCCCGGATTGTAGGGAATGAGGTTCACCATGACCTGCTCCGGGTACAGTATGTGATAAGTAGCGGCTTCGTATAGGTGGCAAGCATTTTGCAAGGCAGGGTTTGGGATATATACTATGGGGTCTTCCGAAAAATCTGAATCCGTTTTCCAGAACAGAACCCTCAAAAAGAGCTTCTTCTCCCAATTCGCCTTGCGGGCTCGTGGAGCCAAAAGCTGACCCAACTCCTTGGCGCAGTCGTCGGTGTCGTTGACGTCGGCCAGGAGCACGTACTCCTTCGGATGCTTCTTGAGGAGCTCAGGATTTATAGGGACTACAAGGGCCGCGGCGTGAACCAACTTCCCGAAAAGGATGCACCGGGGTGGCTGGATGAGGTGCCCCCGAACCACAGCGCCCAATGTTGAGAGTTGCGCTTATAGTTTCTCGCGCTGTCCAGGGCGTCTGGCGGTTACGATAGGGCCTGGTCTGGGATCTTAGTTCCAGATAAAGGAGATGCACTGAAAAAGTCTGCGGACGCTCCCATAGTGTTTCTCGTGACTTTGCAAAAGGGTTCGCAGCAGGTAGGGGCCCCAGACTCCCAAGAGACCCACTGTTCCTAAACTTTCGTCCCTAAGCACTCATCTGCGACATAAACCTTGAAGCCTTTCTCTACTTGAGACTTCCGGAAGCCGGGTAATGCACCCCGAAGGATTTTGAAAACTCCACCGTCTTCGGAGAAGTTAGGGAGAACTCCGCTGATGCACGAAACCCTGCCGTATACCCATAGCATAACGAAAATGCTTTAAGGCACTTTTGGCAAGCACTGCCTTGCAAGGTCTTGTGACGGAACGCAGGGTTGAGTTCATCAGCAGTGGCACCTAACCGGACATCTGCAATGCAAGCCTCTTCACCTGATCCTGGCGCATGGCTATGGTTGAAATCTTCATATCCTTCTTCTTCTTCTTGCTGTGGCTACTGTTGCTGTAACGTGTCTCTGCTTTCTGCCCTCGTTAGTTGCTATGAGTGGCTGCAGACCTAAACCTTAGACCCGAAATCCAAACTCCAAGAACCCTGTGATTACACTGAATCTCAAAACCTGAAGTTTGCAGACAGGCGGCAATCATGGCACGTGCCGTCTTCCTCAGATAGTGCTATGCAAGTGTCAGGACGGGTGATGTAGGGCCACGAAGCGCTTGCTTCATCTGATGAAAAGATGCCCTTTTGGATCCCCGCGGCTGTGCGTCGCTCTTGACATTGGGTCCCGGATTACATCTTGAAAGTCTCGGTTTAGGGTTTAGGGTTTAGGGTTTAGGGTTTCATAGAGGGAGAGTTTGTGCCGGAGTGCCTGCGTTGGAGTGTTGCCTTCGTCTCGTGCACTGGCTTTCGGCTGCAACTGTCGGGCGGGCTTCAAAGGGCCTACCCTTCACCCCCCCAAAAAAAAACCTAAGCTTAGTTCCTAGTCCCCACAAAAGTTGCAGGGTATAACCGGTATAGCCGCATGGCCGTTAAAGAGGCTACATTGCCGAACCGGTTGCCCTAAACACCAAACCCTAGGCAGGGCTTTACTTTTTTGAATTTTGCGTGCGCCGAGAGGCGTCTCCAAGTGCAGGTCCATGGCGGCCAAGAGCCTTATGGTCCGTGAAAGAGATGTTTGGGATTCGGGTTTAGGGCTTAGGCTTTACGGTGTAGGGTTTAGGGTGTACCTGCACAGTACAAAACCTTCTTTTTTGGTGTTCCCTGTTTTGACTTCCTTATTATATGTCCAAGGGTAGGTGATTTGTGGTCCAGGTATAGCCTAGGATTTCAGGTTCGGGCCCGGGGTTGGGGGTCGGAACTTGGTGCTGAGGGTTTCAGGAACTCGGGTCAGGAGCTTGGGCTTCAGGGTGTTTAAGGCTTTTTAAGGATTTGGGGTTTTAACTCTGTCTCTCTCTGTCCCTCTCGCTCTCTCCGGTTGGAAAGGTCGAGTTTGTTCTGTACTGAGATATAGCTGGCTGCGGGCCTGTATTTTGCAGATATATACTGTGCTGGAACGACCCACTGACCAATACATTTCCCATTCCTGCGTCCCTGGAAAACCCTGAAATAATGTATTCGATGGACCCCCGGACACCCACCCCCCAACACAAAAGGAAGGTAGGAGGGATGTGATATTAGTACCACGTCCATTGAAAGGAACGACAGTAAAGCAAAAGCAGGGATAGTGGTCTCGGAGTTCTACATGGAACCGTGCTACAGACCTTACCTACCACGTAGAAGCACCTCCCAAGTCCCTACTCCAAAGCCCCTAAACCCTATAAACCCAAAACGCCCTGCCCTGTAGGGGGTGACCCAAAAAGCGGGCTCCAGGGGAGCCATAAATCCTGATTTCCACGCTACAAAACCCTAAACCCTAAACCCCAAGCTACAAAACCCTAAACCCTAAGCTGAACCGTGGAACTCTTCCATGGGCACATTCTTCGCTGAGGGGACGATCTTCTGGCGGAGTTCCTGTGCATCGGCCACCCTTAAAACTTAAGATGGAGCTATGTAACGTCTTAAATAACGTTGAAACATGAGCTTCCGAAACCGAAGGCACGACCTGCTTGCTAAGCTCATCAACTAGTAGGTGCTAGGACTTCGAACTTCTTGTTCTCATGATTGTGGCGTACTCTTGCAGGATGCAAACAGAGACCCTAACTCAGAGAAGTAGCCATAATCTACTGGCTGATGAACGGAGATTAGAGCCCCCTGACCACACAACCCCCACATGCCCGCAGTGTAGCGATGACAGCAATATGGTTGTAATGTGAAAAAAGATGGGCCTTTGACTTTTAAAACATGTCCGAGCGATAGCCCCAGAAACAAGAAACGACGACACCCCCACTCACAACAGTACGTCGAGACCCGAAACCCTCAACCTGCGAAATCTCAAACTTGAAACTCTTTGGGCCATCCTCATTCGCACAAGGCCTCTAAACCGCCGTAACCCGAAAACGCTCGACTACACGCGACCGCAGAAAAAGCAATGGGAACCCTAAACTCGCCACCTGCGTGGGCGCGTGGAGGGATAGCGCGAGGCTCAGCCCTGGAAGGTCGCGCGCCAGCTGTCGCATTCGCGGCACCACTCCTAGGGATTTCTATCAGGGTTACTGTAAGGCGAAAAAGAGGTCTATATCTAGGCCGACTGTTTCAGAAATCTTAAACTCAGTAACCATATTATGAACAGATACCCAACCTGGTTTTGACAACCTCTAAAGGATTGCCCAAATCATTGGCCCTGTATCATCCGACTGCCATACGGGTGTAGGGTCTATCTGAGTCTATCTCTTCCTGAACGCTCACAATACTGCATGTGTGATTTCCTTTCGTATATATATATATATATATCGTTGAGAACCTTAGTTTTGGCCTGCAGGTACAGATTAGGGATGCCTAGGGAGGCTTAGGGGATTGGAGGGGTTAAAGGGGTTTAGAGCACCTAGAGGCGCTTGTGGAGCCTAAAGTGGTTTAACGAGGTTTCGGAGGGTTCGGGGTGTAAGAGGGGGTCGAAGACATGGGAATTTCCGGAAATTAGGATACCTTATTTTGGGGTCCGTATAATGAGGATCGTTACTATTTAGGGTACTGTATTAGGGTCCCTGATTTTCGGAAACCTCCACATGTCCGATGCTGAGTGAGTTTACGGACTTGAAGGCGTCAAATGCAACGAATTCGGAGTGTTGGTGGGAAATTGGGGGGTTAGGGGAACTCGTAGGATTGATGGGCTTTTACCGGGCTTTGGGAGTTTAAGGCTAAGGGGTTTGGGGAGCTAGTGGGTCTAAGCGATTCGACGGGGCTCAGGACAGGGCTTGCGGCTTTGAGGGCTGGGGGGCTTCGGGCGTAGATCCTTTAGGGTTTAGGGTCGAAGACTCCTCTTAGCATACGTTACGCGGGGGGGGGGGGGGGGGGAA